CCCTTGAAATCGTGTGCGTGTTTATTTGGGTACAGTATGTTTGATGAGTGTGAAACTTACAGGCTGTGGCGAATTAAGAAGACCATCCTAAAGATGTGTCACGATAGGGGCTATCTTGTTATGCAAAAAGAACTGGAACAAACATTGGATGAATTTAAAGAGGCTGTTGGCGATCCACCTAGTAGGAAGGATCTGCTCATGGTTGTCAACCATGAAGAGGATCCAGCCGATATGCTTTACGTCTTTTTTCCTGAAGAGGATAAAGTTAACATGAAAACAATTCGTGCCTATGTTGACCAGATGCAGCAGGATCACACCTACAAGGCCATTCTTGTACTTCGAGATGGGGGTCTGACGCCAGCTGCGAAGACGGTAATAGTTTGGTTCTTCTGAATCTCTTAGGCCATCAGTGAAATGTCTCACAAGTACACTTTGGAGTCATTCTATGAGAACGAACTCATGGTTAATATAACTGAACATCAGCTCGTTCCGAAGCATAGCGTTCTAACAAATGAGGAAAAGAAGGAGCTCCTGGATGGATAGTAAGCCCTATAGCTTTAATAACGCCTCATTTAGTCGTCTAACGGAAAGCCAGCTCCCGAAAATGCAGGTGAGTGATCCTGTGGCCAGGTATTACGGCCTGAAACGCGGTCAAGTAGTGCGAATTAATCGACCATCCGAAACAGCCGGTCGTTACATCACCTATCGTATCGTTGTGTAGCGATGTTTTTTTTGTAAATCAACTTTTTTTGTGATATCCGCACTTGTATGTGTGGATCTACCAAGTCTGCGGCTTTTCAAGGCCTTGGTTTCGACAGTTTGTATTGGCTTTTCTCTGGTTGGTCATTAGGTCACATTGTTCTTATTTTGCTGCCATTGCTAGTGTACATCACTTGCATGCATCGTAAACTGATTTAGTAATCTGGTTTTTGAGATTGAAATTTTTCACTAGATAGACATGATTGCATTGGTAGTATTTTCGAAATCATCCAGCTTTGTTTGCCAGTAAGTTGAGTGAACATTTATTTCTTCTTAATTCGACCCACACAACTATCAAGAATTAGAAATTACTTGTGCTGCCGATTCACTATCTCATTACAATTGAGGCCCTTATTTGATCGTTCCAAGTTTCCTCTACTTAGGTATCTAATGTTGATTTTGCAGTTTTTGGGAGAACTCACACTCACAGT